GTTGGGAGATCTTTCCAGTATTCGTTCAGACATCTCTTAAATGTGTCCACGTTTGGAGCTGACACCACTGATTCGGGAAGATTGTTCCAAATTATCTGATAATAAAGAAGGAATAAACCACACCAGACCACATACCAATCACTCACTGACCTCCCTTTTTTCTGTCGGTATGCGTGAATGTGTTTCGCAATGTTTTGTGGGATTTTGAGGGGTTTTTAAAGAATATTAATCTAGATTCTAGAAGATCTCTAGATCTAGGTCTAGATATAATCTAGATCTAGATTATATTTAATATGTAGATCTAGATCTAGATCTAAATCTACTCTATTCCCATTTCTGTAGTCTAGTGGTCCTATCTTTTTAGCACAAAACCTTGTGTCGTATTTCTCTAAAATTGCAACAAGCAAAGAAAGAAACAAACAAACAAAAAAGAAAACCTGCACATTCTTAAGTGGATACCAAAAGTACTTACCTTATTAAAAAACGAAATAACTATAGCACCCTGGAAACATCTCTGATATAAATCTTAATCTAGAGTCTAGACCTCTAGATCTAGATATCTAAATTTAATTATCTTGATCTATAGTATAGATTCTACAAACAGCATCTGATAGATCTAGATCTAGGCCTACCCTATTTAACTTTTCGGATAACTTGTGTTAGTTGTCAAAGTAACGTCAAGTCGGAAATGGCGTCATTTGTGTTCTACGTCATTCCCTTTTGTTTGCGCAATGTTGATAAATAATTTTCATTTGAGAGTACAGTTACTCTTTCCATTAATTATTGGTTCTTACTAAACAATATATTTCAGGCCTTTTTCAAACTACAAGCGTACATTGACAGTTTGTGAGACACAGCTTCAACTTCAACAGAGTGACTAAATTTGTGACCCGACGCGTTCGAATCAGAGGCTCGTAAATTTTAGGGCAAAAAAATTAAAAATTAATATGGTATTTATGTTTGTTCATTCAATTTGCATTCGGGGGGAAAAAGCCCAATCTACCGTGAATATAAGTTGAGACATTTGCTATTGGAGGAGGAGAGGGTCGCTGGTGTAAGAGTTAAAATTAACGAGAAAATGGCCGTCAAAGTTTGGTGGCTTCCAAAGTTTAAATGTCCTTGGAAATTGGAAATTGACCTTTTTCAGCTGTGCTTTTAATTGGCGTTTTTCGGTAATATCCACACAGAAATGCGCTTCAATAGGACATTTAATATGTTGAGAAAAAATGTTTTAAAATCGAAAAAAGATTGCCCAACGCCGAGAAAAATGCAGGTTTCTTTGATATCTTTTTTCACGAACGCCTGTTTTCTCCACGCTGCCTCACAATTGGTTTTTGACACTTCCATCCTCTGTTGCCGTTCAGCATCAAGGAGAGATGCACTTTTCTCTTGAAGGCCAAGTAATCTAGTTGTTAGGCTATCGGACTCGTAATCGGGGATTCAAGCCTCAAGCCCAGACTTGTGTCCTTGGGAGGGCACTTTACACATTTTCTTCACTTCATCCAGGTGTGAATGGGTTCCCGACCTTAGACAACGAACGCTCTTGGCGGTATGTTATTGTTTCAGCGTCTGTAAAATGGCATCTTGCGCTGTATGCTTACCAGGAAGTTGAGATTGTTTCAGAATGCTATCATGTCGGTAGGATTGTATTATAGATTGTAAAGAGCATAGAGCTTGCTATTCAGCGAGAATTTGCGCTATACGAATTGTTAAATTAGAATCACAAGGTTCTGTCTGACATTTCTGGTTGTTTTAGTTACTAAGTCTATGAAGACAGAAACCAAATGTTCTATCTATTCTGCCAATTTTGTTTAGATTATTCGAGTCGTAATCATGATATTCAAAAAATTGCGTTACAAAAAGCTTTACATATTGTGTGAAACTTAAAATTGTTATGGTCAACTTTCTGAAAACTAGGTACAGAGTATAGATAGACCGTTGAAATTCCAGGGTAGCAAAATTCGATATTGTTGTTGTTATTATTATTATTTTTATTATTATTATTATTATTACTATTTTATTACTATTATTATTATTATTATTATTATTATTATTATTATTATTATTATTGCCGTTATTATTGTTATTAGTATTACTATCAACAGTATTATTATTGTTTTTAGTAGCAGCAGTAGTAGTAGTAGTAGTAGTAGTAGTAGTAGTAGTAGTAGTAGTAGTAGTAGTAGTAGTAGTAGTAGTAGTAGTAGTTGTTGTTGTTGTTGTTGTTGTTGTTGTATCTTTATTTGTTGCGATGTTGCAGTTTCTCAGGGATCCCCTAACTCCTTTATTCCATCTTTCTCGGTGTCTACCATTTCCATTGTAGCCCGAAAACGTGGCAATAAATCGCTACCCTGGAATTACAAAGTTCTATTTGCTCACTACTTAGTTTTAAGAAATTTGACGTTAAAAAAATGAGTTTCACAATATGTCAATCTTTTGCGAATGCAATTCTTTGAAAATCTCGATAACGATTTCGAATTATTGTACGATTTTAATAGAGCCTATGGATCATTTAAGTTGGTTTCTGACCTCATGGTCTTAGGATCTCAAAACGGCCAAACATGCAAGATAAAGCTTTCAATTCTAAGTTAGCGATATAGAAACACTCCGGGCTGGCGGACGCGACAACTGCAACAGGAGACAAATCCAATATTTTTCGCTGTTTTTCTTTAAGATGTAGAATGGACTCCGTACGAGAATTGCTCTTACACCTTCGATTTTCCGCTCCTCTCTTCTTAAGATGGTTAGGGTTTTTGCGGAGATATTTCTTCTCGCACACAGTAATTTTCCTTCATGGTTTTACTTAATGTTCAGGTTTGACATTGGCAGCATAATTAATGTTTGAATAAACACAATGACATTTTTATTGTGTGAGATATACCAGTGCACCATTTTACAAACATTTCACCTCAAAAATACATTGAGAAAAACAGTCTAAATTATAATTAATTGCTTTTTGTCCTTTGTTCTGAAACAAATCCAAAACCGTTTGCACTTGCAGCGGTCCGGTCCGTCAATGTTGCAATATTTATAACCACAAATAGCTACATACAGAAAGAAAATTCAATAAATTTCATTGACATTTTTGGGGGTTTCTATTGGTCATCGGTCAAAGATTTCCAATTGATCATATTTTGAGATAGCCCTTTGTAAAATAACAAGTACATGTCTATCAAATTAGAAAGTGTTATTACTCTTTTGAATTTATACTACTGGGCGCTCTGTAAGCTCAGTTGGTATGATGCTGGACTACGGAAAGGATGGCCCTGATTCGAATCCCAGTCTAGGTGATCTTGAACTTGGATCGTTTTGTGAAGTTTTGAAGACTCTCATCCCATTCTGCTTGGTACCGACGAAAGTTAAATTCGGAGATCGATCCTCTTAAATAACTGAATAGTGTTGATAGGTGTGCAACCGCCACATGTCTTCATTGTATATTATGTTGAGGAGAAGTGTGAGTGTTCCTGTGTGTAAGTGTCTAATGATCTGGTTGTTGATGTCAGGTCCGAGATGAATGGTGTTAGTTCGTCAATAATGCGGTCAAAAATTCGTGGCGCAACTTATCCTCTAAAAACTCTTTAATGACCGAATCAGTGTCAACCATACTTTGCACAGCAGTTTGTATCAATTTGTCTTGACGTAATCATATTTTCCCAAAACAATTAAAGCTATACTGAAAAGAAAAGCTTTTCAAAATAGATTTATATAAAATACTATAAATCTCAGTCACGCGGAAATTGGGATTTTTCACAGCACGTCCCGCTTCTCACACACATTTTGCCTACGTGTATCATGTATGACCTACGTCACAGTTCACCAATGACACTTTTTAGTGGCAAACCTTGTTACAAGAAATTAATTTTATAATTCAGAAAGAACGCATTTAATAAAGAGAGTGTCACGAGTAGAAAAAAATAACAGACCTGCTTTTAAGAGCGATGTTTCCTCTATTGTAAACCTTTTAAAATCTATAATCACCCTATTGGATATTTTATTAATATTGATTAAGGCATTTTCTAGAATACAGTCTAACAGTAACAGGTGTTGATCAGTTAAGACAAATTTATACAAGTCATTGTGCAAAAGTTAGAGAGTCTGTGTTCGATAGTTTATATTAGGAAATATTTGACAAAAAGTTGCGCCACAAATTTTTGACCGCTCTATAGTGTGAAGTTTGAGGTAGGTTCCTCTGTTGCTTGAGTGGGAGTTTAGTTGTGGTTCTCTGTTAGTGTTGGTTTTGATGTTTCGAAAAGTGATGTCGTAGTTGGTTTTTGAAAAATTGTTCGAAAAGGTTATGTCTATTGTATTGGCCATGTCTATTGTATTGGCCATGTCTATTGTATTGGCCATGTCTATTGTATTGGCCATGTCTATTGTACTTGCCATGTCTACCTGTGTTTCTGCTGTGGTGACACCCGCTTCCCTACCCCCTGGTGATTTCTGTTTGCCTACCCAACAATTTTAAAACTGTTTTTCAATATTTTGGTGATTGTGGTGACTGTTGATTTTTAATAGGTATTTTCTTTTTTTAAAAATATTTTGCTCTCCTTGAACTTGGATTGTTTTGTGAAGTTTTCAAGACTTTCATCCCCTTCGGCTTAGTCCTACCGGAGACAGACGTTTAATTCAGAGTTCCCTCCTCTTAAATAACCTAATAGTGTTGATTCTGGGCGTTAAACCCATACACTTGCTTATTTTTACTTCAAACATAATATACTCTAACTTCAGTTTGAAGAAAATAACGTAAAAAGAAACATGTATCATGCTGAGAATAGAAAATGCACAGTGTTAATATCGAAGCTAGCCGACAAAAATGCGAGAGAATTGGATCTCAGTGAGACCCGTTTGTAAAGGTCTTGAATAATGACGTATTGCACACCATCCATGTTTAAACTTCCTTTAAATATTTCGAACATTGTCGATAGGAAGATACCTCTTTCACCTGAGGAATAAATTTGCTTTAGAATACGTTCAGGGAAATAGTAAGAGAGAGAGATGGACGAGGGGGG